GTGGCATGTGCCTATAATCCCAGCTACTTGAGAGGCTGAGGCAGGAGAATCACTTGAATCCAGGAGGTGGAGGTTGTAGTGAGTCAAGATCACACCACTGCACTCCAGCCCGAGCAACAAGAACAACTCTGTCTTAAAAACAAAAAGATTTTCCATACCTCACTACCACATTCAAGGCCTTCTGTGATGTGTCCTTCATTACTTCTTTGCTCTTTGATCACATGTACCACACAGACCTTTCCTAAATGACTTCTGTGGCCATAAAGAAGAACTCACTTAGGCCTGGAGATCTCAGAGTAAATGAAAGAAGACACACTTACTAGAAATAATGGCAGTGAGGGAAGAGTTTCCCTGCAGGGTAGTCACAAAGCCTTTCCACAATTAGATATCCTTCTGGAAAACTCAGCAAGCCAAGAAAGCCTGCCCTGGGCCTGTACTGCTGCAGGGCAGGATCACAAAAATGTTTCTATTGAATGGATTTTTATTTTCTTGATATACAATAAATGCATGGTTTTATGTAAACAAAAAACACATTTTTATTATTTAATTTTCTAGGTAAGTCTTTGAAAATGATGCATGCAATAAAAATTATTTGCAATACCCATATTTGATGCATCAGTTTCACAACGACACAGTTTAGCATGAAATTTAAATTCAGCCAATAATTTCAAGGTGACAGTTTTATCTACAAAGTCTCCATTTCTAGTTCAACCAATTTATTTAATGGAACAATTTAGAGCACTTATTTAACAACAGATCCAAATAACATTCAAAAGAAAGTAAAGGGAAATAACTTTCAAATGCAATTTAGTAATAGAAACTATTGCTGTTTTTAAAGTAATGAATCTAAACCTAAAATGTAAGTGTTAATTGTATGTGTTCTTATTAAAGAGATTCAAGGAAGATAGCAATGTAATCATAAAAATGTAAACTTAGATGAAATCCACCACTTTCCTATAAAACACAGATACACAAATATTAAGACCTCAAATGAAATACAGGCTGTGAAGTTAAGAGGTAAAAACACTAAAAAATAAGACAAAATTATAAATGTTAAATATACATTATGCTTTAACTCTCACTTCATTGGATTTCCATTGCTTTCTAGACACATCCCTGCAATAAGTTCTAGACACCTGGTGATTTTCTTTATTATGAGGTGGCAATAATTAAATACTCTGCATTTCTTTTGGTAAGGGAAAGCATGATTTATGAGAAAAGAATAAAAATATAAGAAAAACACATAATAAATTATTCAATGTTTAGATCAATCTGATTTCAGGCAAATTTCTTCCATGCTGCAAGTATGAAAAATGTAGATAACAGCACAGTATTTAAGATAATATCTGGGTTTGATTTCCTGTTCTTAGCAATTTTGTGACTGTAGGCAAGACACATAGCCTCTCTTAAGTCTTAGTTTATTCATTTTGAAAAGGGAGTAGTAATAGGAAGTATGTCTCTAAGAGTAAGATGTATACCACTGGTGGCATTTAAGGTAGCTGGAGTGGCAAGATGGGCAGATTGCTGGAGCTCAGGAGTTTGAGAAGCCTGGGTAACATGGTAAAACCCCATTACAAAAAATACAAAAATTAGCCAGGAGTGGTGGTATCTGTTTGCAGTCCCAGCTACTCAGGAGGCAGGTGGGAGGATCACCTGAGCTGGGAAGGCTGAGGCTGCAGTGAGCCAAGATCATGCCACTGCACCCCAGCCTTGGTGACAGAATGAGGCACAGTCTAAAAGAAAAAAAATGATAGCTGCTGTGGTGATGAACTTATTTTTAAAATTTTATTTCAACACTATTTTAATATGCATGTTATAAAATAGATAATTAGTATGTAAACTAAAAAAAATTAATTTTTCAGGATAAACCAAGCAAGCATCATGGGACTCTCTCTTTCTCAGAGTATAGTTCTTTTCAGTTGTACTTTGAAATTTCACTTCAATGAACATGAACATTTTAAAAATGGTAAAGTCCTTTATACAAAGAAGTAAATGTCAGAAGAATGTTCTTAGGGTTCATGTGGATTGTGTCAGAATTAAAGGAAATGATGAGCTAAATTTTATAAGGTACTTAGCACAGCACTGGAATATATTAAAAACTCAATAACTATTATTTTTCCTTGTGACTTGTTATTGCCATATTACTGTAATCCTAATAAATCAAGTATACTCTGTTTAGCATAAAAGAAGTTTGAACATCTATACATAGCAAAACAATCATCTTTTCATTTCCAAAGGATTTATAAATAATATGTGCCACTAAGAAAAACGAAAAAGGATAAAAAGAAATTAAGAAACTTGGGGAGGGACAGGAGCTCACAGACGACAAATAAGCAAAGAGTTGATAAAATTAAATAACATATACAATTTGCCTTAAGAATATTTTGCGAAAGGACATATGTTGCAATGATTAGGCTAAGTAAATCTGCCTATGAAATTTGAGGAATTACCACACCCATTGAATAGCACCTATATCATCATATTACATATTGTCTCAGGACCTTAGAAATAATGAAAACAGTTTTCTCCTTCTGTTTTCTAAAAAATTCTATCAACCAGCCTGGGCAACATGGTGTATCCCATCTGTATTAAAAATAAAATTAAAAAAAAAACAAAACTAGCTTAGCATGGTGATGCTTGCCTGTAGTTCCAGCTACTCAAGAAGCTGATGCAGGAAAATCACTTGAGCCCAAGAGGTGGAAGTTGCAGTGAGCTATGATTATGCCACAGCACTCCAGACTGGGTGACAGAGCCTGCCTCAAAAAAAAAAAAAAAAAAAGTTAAAAAAAAAATCCTACCAAGTAAGGCAGGACATATCACTGTAATGAATTCTGAAAACATTTCCTATAGTTTTACTAAGATCTTGTGAATAGTTTTTTTTAAACGTTTTCTCACAAAGGTCAATAATTATATTAAATATGAAACTATTTAGTTCCCTCTTCAATGTATTTTATGTCTCCCACTTAATTGCAATTGTAGTTAATGTTTTCCTGCAGCTGATATTTCCAAAAATAACATATGCCCAGCATTATGTGAATGTGTTGTTGTTCTTTTAAAGTATTCTGAATTTTATCCACCAACATATAAAGTAGCTGTAATATTTTGGTGTTCTGATTCTTATTACAAATTTTCTTTTACCATAGGCAAAGAAAGAACCATTCAATAATCAAAAGAGAGTAAATACCACACTTTAATCAAAATATCTTTAGTCATAATAAGACTAAATTCAATAGTATCAACAGTTCTTTCTCTAAACGTGCAGTCTGGCCATGTTGTCCAGGCTGAACTCAAATTCCTGGGCTCAAACCATCCTCCCAACTCAGCCTCCCATGTAACTGGAACTGCAGGCACCTAGCTAGTATGCTTATACCTAAGAATATACTGGGGCAGAATTGGGTGCAATCTGGTGAAACCTCAAATATGAGTAAGCCAAGTGACAGAAAATTCATCTAAAGTTTCATTTTGATAGCTGACCAACAGTTTCTTACCCAGAAAATGGGACTCTGTGTCAATGAAGAAGGTAGGCTCTTAAGATTCAGGAGAAAATTCAGAAATGACATCTACTGAGTTAATACACGATGAACATATAACATTAGCTGTCTTACGAGAGCTGGAAGAAACTTATCCATGACACTATGGGCGGCTCGCCATATGTATCAAAAATGCAACTGTAGTCACTCGAAATTAATTAAAAGGCAATTTTTCTACTTCTTGCTTAAAATATGTAATACAACTATAATTGTGTGATGTGATGAAACAGGAGCTCCTTCACAGAGGCAAATTTACCGGGTCTAATTAAAGCTAATTTTGGAAAACAAACATGCAAATGACTTAAAATAACCATCTAGCTTTATCAAATTATTCAATTTAGCATCATCACTAACTGTTCTGGCACTAAAACATATTCTCCCTGTTTTGATCTCTTGCCTTCACTAACTATACCTTTTTATCTCTCTCTACGTGACACTGTCCAATTAGTAATCTCATAAAAACAATGAGAAGAAATCATTAAGTATTGCCACGAATAATGCCTGTTTTAAAATTTAGCATTTTGTATATACTAACATTGCTCACAGTCCTGAATAATGAAAAGAAACCCCTTTGCGAGAGTGGTAGTACTTGACAGTTTAACTGCCTGTAATATGTAAATTTATAACATGTTTTCCTGACATTTAATCACGTCATAACTTAATGTATTCATCAAAAGCTTACTGATAAAGTTGAAAATTAAAGTTGTCCTTTTTTTTTTTTTTAGTTTTTATTTCATTTTTTAAGTGACAGCTAACTGTATGATAAAAATCAGAGAGCATTTTACAACATAAATTTAGACTCACTTGCCCTAAAATGTAAACATTATCATTAGGAAGTGACAGTGATGAAGTTTGTTATAAAATCAAATGACCCAAGTGTAAAAACAGTTTAATTTTTTATGATACTTATTATGCCCAGAAAAGAAAAATTGTTGCATGACTTTCATCAAGGTACAAAGTAAAAACAAATTTACCCATTATGATTAGGGTATTCCTATAATATAGATCCTCTTAAGCCATTGCTGTTAATTCTGCTTTCACTTTTAATTGCTTAACTTCAAAACATCATTGTAAATAATACAAGCTGTTCTTCTAGCAAGTATTTATGATTATAGTAGGATTTATAAGTTCTTTAAACACTTGACAATTGTAAGATGAAATTGATAGCAAAATAGGTCAGAAACAGGGTACTTGGCTTGGCTCTTGCAGAAATGATATACTGTGAACTGACATTTTCAACGCTGCTCAAGTTATGATGGTGTTACTTCTGCATAAACCTATCCTATGATCTTTTCAACTTACAGTGGGTTTATCTGGACATCCCGTCGTAAGTCAAGGAGTCTAGTGAATGTCTACCACGTTTGCACCCTGATATAATTGAAAATCGTTAAGTTGCATCACCGTAAGTTGGAGGTTGTCTCTAGTAGTTACGTTCTGTTGAAAGAGCACACCAATAAAGTTTGTACTTACTTTGCAGAGGCAAAGTGTTTCTAATACACTGTAACTCCAGTTCCTCTGTCCATTCCAACCTTGGAAGCATCTGCTTCATTTCACAGTTACCATTCTCTGCCCCGGACACTGGTTGACTATTGACTGGTATCTTTCCCAAACTCTTCATGTGGTGTTGAACTTCTGCCAAGAGAACAGCCTGTATTGCTTCAGTTACCTGTAAGATATTTTTTCAACGAATTATTTTTAGTATTATTACAAATGCTTGGGAATGTTGCAAAAAATCCAAAGCCTGGAATTTAAATTTGAGCAGGTTTCCATAAATGGTAACTTTCCATTCTTCTGGAATTAGCATCCCCAACAACTGAAATGTGGGGAGCAACAATTGGTACCCAGACTCTCACATTGTTTTTTGTTTTTTTTTTTTTTGCAATGCATGAGATTCTAGAAGGATACTTAGGAGGCATCTTTAAAGTCCATAATGCTAACCATTACACTATGAGACAAAAAGGAGTTTTCAATTATTTTTCCTATTTTCATTTGTACCAGAAGATAAAGAAAATTCATTTGAATTTATTCTATTGCTCTTAGACAAGGTTAGATCCTCAAGCTCCATCTAGCTCCAAAGCATTATTTAACTAAAAACACTGCCTTTAAACTATGTTTAATACAGAAAATTAAAGAAATTACATTAATAATAAATCTTACTAAATTGTGTGTATGCCTATGTGGTTTTATATAGATTAAAGTATTGCAAGTCATGTCTTCCACTTGCTGTGTATGCCCAGTCAAAGACCTGTGGTTGGAAGGAGGGGGAAAGGAACACTTGCCATAGGACACCTAACCAAATTCTTCATTTTTAAAATGAAGAATCTGGGGGATGACACCTCCAGGTTACACACACTTGGTGGTCAGACCTTGTGATTTCTGATTCTGTGTTTTTTGAAGTCCATGTCCACTCAAGATTCTATATTCTCTGCTCTCAGTGCAAAGCTAGGGACAGTTTCCTAGACCTCTTCCGATAAAAGATGAGGTAAGGTCTAGCAGGTAGGTAGAGCCCAAGGAAGGCCAGGAGCTGAATTAGGGAGAGAAAAGAAAGGACACTGCTGATAAAGACAAACAGGGGACATCTTCCCATTACCCTTCTCTGGCCAACAGTTAAGCCTTTCATATAGCTACATCCCAGTGCCTTTCATCTAGCCACATTCCAGTGCCACATCATATATATTTCCCCTCAGAAGTCTGTCCTCTGTCAGACTGACCCATGTTCCACAATTGCCACTGCCTCCGTCCATTACTCCCAGTCTATGCATAAGCATGTCTAGACCTAGGGATATGGGACCATACTGAGAGTGGTGACCTAGAGATGCTTTGGCCAAAAACTGAACATATATTTATGTAAACATTTATTCAGTCTCTTTTGTATGTCATGGTAGCATATGAGACCTTCAGGTTCCAGGGACATGCAGGGAGCTTATTATGATGGGAGATATTTGCTAGGGCAGAGAAGCTGGCCTCTGACTTTTAAACAGAGAAAGCTTCCTGAGAATACTGGAGCAGCTTCCTGATTGCTGATTATCCCTCTGTCCTTGTCCAGCCTAAACTCATATGCTTGATTAAGGAGTGAAGAAGGCTTATGAATTATAGACTATCACTGTTGTATACCATGCATACTAACCTGTAGTACTGTCTAATCCAATATAAGTAAATGGTGCTTACTCATGAATATCATGTAATGAGATATTTAACATCAGAGTATCAGTTATATGCCATTAATCTAAGATATACTTAGCATATCATGATGCTGGCGAATAATGCCTAGTTATATCTACCATATGAGACAAACCTAGTTGACACGGTGAAACCCCATCTGTACAAAAAATGCAAAAATTAGCCAGGCTCAGTGGTGTGTACCTGTAGTCCCACCTACACAGGAGGCTGATAGAGGAGGATTGCTTGAACCCAGGAGGCAGAGGTTACAGTGAGCCTAGATCGCACCACTGCACTCCAGCCTTAGTGACAGAGCTGGTACATATGTGTGTGTGTGTGTGTGTGTGTGTGCGCGCATGTGTGTATACATATATATGTGTGCGTATACATATATATGTGTGTGAAAGTGTATATATGTATACACATATATGTATATACCAGTTTTGATACATAGATATGTGATGAAACATATGATAATCTCTTAATTATTATATATGTGTCTCCTAACATACACTGCTATATATATATATATATATCGTGATATTGGTAAAACATGCTGATTTATGTATATCACAATGATGTGATATACTGTATTATTTATTCATTATGAACAATTTTGTAGCACTGAACTAATTTCATTGTAACTTTGTCATACATGTTATTTGATAGCACTGGTTCCATGACATGGCTGATGTGGTAGAAAGAACTCAGGCTTATAAATGAAAAGGTTTGCATTTCCAATTCAACTATGACAGTTACTACAAATCCAACCTTTGACAAGTCATGAACTTCTCTGACTCTTCATATTCTAAGTCTGTGATACTGAGAAATGAGGATAAGAGCTTTCAATAACAGAATACTGCATGGAAACTGCTCTTTCTATACTTATAAATTAAGTATAGCAGGACATCCTAAGACCTACAAGGTGTCCAGACTGTGTCATATCCCTTAGAATGGGTAGTTTGCCTTCACTGGGCTTATGGCTGTCCTCTCATCCTGGGATGCTTATCACCCCAGAGACATGCCCACAGTTGTGATCTAAAATGTCATGCCTCCCACTGAGTGTAATATCCTATACAACTTGGACAATAATTCTTTCTTAAAAATATATAGGAATTTATGTAATTTCACTTAACATTTCTAATTATTTGATTTACATGTCATGACTTCACTTTAACTGTTTTTTTAACATAGTTGTCACCAAAAATGCATATTATAAGAATAATAATATGAATGTCATAAAAAACAAGAGGAACAGAAATAATAATAGAATAAAATAGATTAACCATGATGACTAGGGTACTCAGTGCCACAACAGTTAAAGTGAATACTGAATGCAATCCAATTGGAAAGAAACTCAAAATATACATTTAAACTTAGTGCGAGATGAGAGAAAGGCTGTATCTTCTAAGTATGTAATAATGGTGTTATAGTATCTGGAATAGATTAGGCACTAAATAAATACTAGAGGAATTGAAATAGATTTGTAGACATTCAAAAATAAACTGTGGAAAGTATAATTTATTGATAGTTTATAACTATCAATACTTGAGTCTCTATAAATACAGTAGATAAATTTTACAGGTAGTCAATAGAAATAGAATTTTCTCCAACAAAATATAAAATATTTATATGGCATTTTATATAACTTTATAATTTTAAGAATGAGCTAGAAGTGAGCTCTGTGGCTATAAAACTGTCTTCCCAATGTATATAAATAAATTTCTTCCAAAGGTAGATATATAAGATATAAAAGAATCATATTCTTTTATGAGGCAATGTGCAGAAATTAAAAATAAGGCTTACAAACTCATTGACTAGAAATAGCTACTAATCTGGGACATATGCTTATTAACTAAAAGTATAAAAATTTTAGTGGTATTCCATTAACACCTTGGAAGAGCAAAATACTGTAAAATAGTATACAGCATCATGAAGATGCATAAGGACCCATGTGTTCTGCTTGTTTCTTCCAATGTCTAGTGTTTTTGCTATAAAAACATTTTCCCCAACACTCTACTTATGCTGACCTTTCATGTCTTTGTGTTTCCAGATGGTGGGGGGGCGGGGTATCCATGAACCACAGCAGCAAAAAAGAACTCTTCCAAGAACTTCATGAATGTGAATTATATCATACCTGCACAGACTGGTCTCTCCAACAGGAAATTAGCTTCAAAAGTGAAAGGTCAGCCTCAGGTACATTAGATGCATTCTTTCCTAGAAACACACAGAACACATTTATATCTTGAGAGTATTAAAAATGGATAATGGCTTTTAACATGGGCTGCATATTAGAATCACCTGGGAAGCTTTGTTTTTTTTTTTTTAACATGAGTGGCCAGGTTCAATCTTCCAGAGATTTTTATTTTACAGATCCTGTGTTAGAGGTGAGGCAGGCATTAATGCTTTGCAAAAGTACTGCAGATGATGTAAATGTACAGCCAGAGTCAAGATCCATTTGCGTACGTTTATACACACACATACACACATTTACATGTAATTTTAACTATATAACACATATTCGCATCAAATCAAAACACAATTTTGTTCATTTTGCTGACCCAAGACAGATCACCAAATCTTACAATTCCTTACTCATAGAAATTATGAAATTCTACTCTGCCGTGAATTAGTCTGTATCACATGTAATATCAAAATAAAACTTTTTTTTTTTTTTTAAATTTGTCCTTACCCAACCATACTACTCTGATTAATAGGTAGGGCACTAATGTTTTAATTTGATTCATTCTGTTACATATTGTTTCTTTTCTGTTTGCCCTCTCCAATGTCCTTGCTATCTATATGCCTTAAATGTTCAGTGTGAAATTTTAAGAATGAGCCAGAGCTTGGTCTATGTAAATTGATTCATAGAGTGTCCAGCAGTTCCCTACACATATAAAAAAAGCACTTAATAAGTGCCTTTCATTAATTGTACATCAATATGTACATATAATCATAATGAACAATCGATGATATAAGGTTTTCTGCTGGCTGAAGTCTGTTATCTAAGTGCCAGATTGTGAGAGTGAGATAGGAAAGAATGGTAAGGGCCTGTGCAAACGGAAAAGTTGTTACTATGATTGTCTATTTAAATTAATATATTGATATGTGTTTGACATCGTGGTATCAACTATTTAAATTAGCATTTGTCTGATAAACTTTTCATCAAATCACTATTTTATATTAATATGTGAGATGCCTATCTATATATGAATATATATTTACCACATTACTAGTCAAGGAAAATGTAATAGAAGGTATTGTATACAATGCAATTTGAGAACATGAAAGTAATATATAAGAAACTTCTGACCAATTATTGATATATTTTTTCCTAATGGAGCATTTAATACAAATGTAAAATGACCAGGAACAGTATATAAAACATGTAAGCATGTTAGAAGATTATAATTTTGACATGTTTTCCATTTCTTCATGAACAGAGGGTAAGGGAAAATTTTCTTTTGATCTCCTTTTTTCCCTCCCTCTCCTACTTTGTTGACCTTGTGACTCAACCATCAAAGCTAAGTATCGGTCTCAACTGTAACTACTTACTAGCATCATGGGGTACTTCACAGCACACTTTAATGTGATGTTAAAATTTTAATATGAGATGGAAATGAGAGCCAACTTGTCTTGGCAATGTCAGCAAGCTAAAGAATTAATTGCAACTTAAGGGGTAAAGATAAAAAGAAAATATCCCAGGCTTACCAATATTATTCAGTCACCATTCCTGCTGACAGAAGTGAATGCTGGTTCCTATCAGTCTTTTAGATGAGCACTTCAGAGTATTATTTTATTCTTCAGGATTTGGCTTTATAAAATTAATACCATGAAGTCAATACTTTCTTTTTTTTAATCTTTCTTCTTCCTATGATTTTTTGAAAAATATGTTTCCCTAGTCCTTACCTGAATTTTAAATGCTATAAGTGCCAACCTAAATTTCAGAGAGATGATTTTATGCTAACAGTGGTTGCTTAGGCTGTTTGACTGGGGCAGCCATAGGAAAAGCAGGGGCCTTCTTGATTGTGGTTAGTAATCCCCTGTCTTTGCAGAAACACTTATACTGAATATTAAATTCCAATCCCCTTCCCAGTTACCAGTGCTAAAAAAGTAAAAGGAAAACTGGATAGGTAACCCTCAGAAGGGTGACTACCTACGGAGAAAGGAGGCAACCCAGACTGGGGCCATTTAGAGGGACACTATCTACAATCATAAATGTGAGAAGTGGCCTGACACCGTGGACTGAAATGGGGTTAGGAATCAGATTTGGATTGGCATGCAGGCCCGTCTACTGAATAGCTGTTTGCCTATGAGTCATCTAACTTCCTTGACCTCCATTTTTTTGAGGGTAAAACACAGATGCTGCCTTCTACTGTGCAGGGTTCTTTTTACATTAAATGAGATAATATATGTGAAACCATATTCTTGGAACATACTAAGCACTAGATAATTGGAAGCTATTAATACACTCTCACTTAAACATACTCTCTTTTTTTTAAGAGTAGGGGGTGAGCACTAAGAGATGACGTCGGATGGAGGTGTGTATGTGGTGACATAGGTAGAGCAGCCAGATTGTTTAGCGTCTTGTGTGCTACAGTAAGGGTGGTGGCTTTTATTCGGAGTGAAACAGAAGCCACTGAAAGGTTGTACATAGAAACGTGAGGTTCTGACTTAATTCTGAATAATCATTCCTGCTGGTTGGTTGGGAACATAGCACAGGAGCCAAGAATAGGAGCAGAGAGGTGATCAGGAGCCTCCTGTGGTCATCCAGGCAAGACAGGATGAGTACTCACAGGGCTGAGGGTGAGGGAAAGGGAAGCTGAGGAAGCTGGAGTTGCTGGTGTAGGGGTGAGAAGCAGTCAGATTCTGGGATACATTCTGAAGGCAGAAGTGACACATTTATCAACAGATTGGATGTGGGGTATGAGGGAAACGGAAAGTAAAACATGATCCCAAAGTTCTTGGCTTGTGCCATTGGCAGTTGGAAGAATAGAACTGTTGTTTACTGAGATGCCCCAAACTTGGAAAGGCAGGTTTGGGAGATAAATTTGCTATGAGGAAACAAGAGAAAGTTTAAACACTGAAGTTGTTAATGAGAAGAGTGCAACCTTCTGAAATGCAAGAAAATTATCTAATAATCATTTATTTGGTAATAAAGATAGTGATGCAATAAACTTTCCAATAAAACACAGAATAACAACATCATCTAAGTACTTCCTTTGCTGAAAAGTTTCAAATGCTTAGTTATTTCAAAGATCATTTGAAATCTATGTTTTATAAATGTTAAAATCTTATATTTATGTTTTAAAATTATATAGTGGTAAATCTAGGTTTTTAAATGTTTTATAAATGTCACCCACCTCATTTTCTAAATGAGGAAAGTAAGGCCCAGAAAAGCTAAGTGACTAGCCTAAAGTCACACAGCTAGTATAATCACAAACATAGATAAATCTATGTTTTATAAATGTTATTTATTTTGACATTGCTAACCAGTTATAGAAAGACTAGTTATTTCCTTTCATAAGAAAAAGAATCAGATCATATCTGTATTGGTAACTTCCTTACCATTTCGTGAGCAACTGTAGAAGCTTGACATATTTAAAATGTCATTCCCAGCACTTCTCACCTTATTATGTACACATTCCATTCTGAAAGAACTGTTGAAAATAAGATTGACAGTATATTACTAAAAACATGAAAAATTCTTTGAGGAAATAAATCAAAGATATCGGTACATGACCACTTAAGCAAATTTGAAAACTGAATACAGATTATTTTTAGCAATACCTTTCACACCAATTTCTTTTGTGAATCTGATTTCCTCACTTTACTCCCACCTAAAATATTAATCCCAATTGACTTGCAAATCTGAGTTTGCCAGAATTATCTGTGACCTACATTTACAGGAGAGGCTTTGCTATTTTAAGTCACATGACTACTGACTAATGCAACAATTAAAAAACCCTAATAGGTTGACATCTGCAAAAGAATTCTCCTCAGGTACCATTTGAGCCTTACAAAAGTAGATTTTACCCTAGGCCAGTGTTCCAATCATAGGAATCTTCCAAAACTGCCAGGGATGTTCTCATAGATAGGCAATTATTTCCTTAAAATTCAGTTAAATCATGCACCCAGTTGTTAAGTGTACGAGGACTTCTCAGCCTTCACAACCACAGTAAAATCTTTGTGAAATGGTCAAATTTGTTGGAAGGATTTGGTGTGGCAAATCCAATATACATTATTTTGATTTCTTAAAAAAATAATATCTGGGCTCTGACAGCCAGATCAAATCGGAAGTGGCTGCGGTAGAAAAGCAGTCTCTAATCCTGACACCTTCATTCTATAATTTGTTTCAATGAAGAATTCTTTAAACAGTCAACTGATGTGTGACAACATTTGAAAGGCTATATAATGAAAGGCAACCAAAAGTCTGTAAGCTTCCCTAAAGTACACCGACATCAGACACATCATTTCCATCCTGTAATCTGTGTCAGGAATAACTTAGAATGAAACCTCTGGCAAACAACTAAGTCCCTCATCTGCTCTGTGGGATTATGATTAGACCGATAAATCAAACTGGCTAGCAGCCTAAGCTTTTAAGAATCTGACAATCACCTACACCACCCACCTCATTTTATAAATGAGGAAAGTAAGGCCCAGAAAAGTGAAGTGACCAGCCCAAAGCCACATTGCTAGTGTAATCTCAAAACTAAAAAGTTACTATTAAACTGTGCTATGTATAAATGAATTACTAAAAAGTATCCTCTATTGTATTCTATTTTAATATGTCAAAATATAAAATAAATGGTAAAATTGCAGTTATGAAATTTTCAAATTTTTCTTTCCCTGATGATATAAAATATATATTATCATAAGTATTTACTTAAATGTTTTTGTTCATACTTAATTCACACCATGTATAATGGATTTCAAGATGTATGTGTGTCTATGTATACATTTATCTATCTATCAACTCATTCAACATCCTATACTATGACATTCTTGGCACATATTATGAGAACAATAAATATCTGTTGAAAAAGTGAATTTTTAATTATATAGATTTATTGCCAAATTATATTCCAATTCCAAACAACTAAAAGGGAGATTCTCTTAAATGTGTTTTAAACCAAGAAATTGTTGCATATTTACCCCCCACTGGAAAAAAGGGAGAAATGTTAAAGAGCTGAATGTAGCAAATAATGATTTTTAATGTCATAAAATAGAATTGTCAAAATCTCTAGGTATGCCTTACCTGCCAACTCTACATGCCAATTCTAAAGGCATGTTAACTAACTTATTAACTAAAAATAGTCTGCTCAACAAATAAACGATAGTATTTGACTCCTGTAAAAAATCACAATTTTTGTCCAGTCCTCTTGGAACTCCAACCTGATTTGGAAGAGTGGCTGTGTATTTATTTGACAAGTCCAAAACTTTCCTGGAAAATAAATTTACTCCTGAACAGTCTTTTATCATTTCAGTATTGCATAAATCCCAACCTGGCAACATCAGTGAGAAATAAACTTCATTTGAAGCAAGTCCCAAAGAAACAGGTCCCTGAAGCTTTAAAATATTGAGGTGCTTAATACAAAGATAATCTAAATCTTTATCCACTCCCCATGGCAAAAGGCAAGACAGAAACAATTTAGCTGTGTCTATTGTGAGACTGGCATCTACTTTTCTTGATGGCTTAGGCTGAATTTTTTTGGAGATCTTCATTTTCTTCTGCCTTTTAATGACATCATTTTCTTCCAAAAATTTGATGGCATTATCTCCTTGGGCCAGGCTTTCAGTAAGAGGCTTGGCTTGTGCCTCTGCTGAGAGAGGACCACAGGCGGTTTTACTTTTTCTCAGTGTCAGTGTCTTCTTCTCCACCGTGCTCCTGGCTCTTCTTAGGACCTCACCACCATAGAATGAACTGGAAGAGTCAATGTCACTGAGTGGAGTTGGTAGCAAAAGTTCAACAAGGTTTTCCAGATCAAATAGAAGAATATGAAAGCCTATGTTACTCCATTTTATCTTCACAGGCAAGACACTGAAAGGTCTTGGGAAAAATTTGGCATCAGCAACCTAAGGGGACAAAAATATTTGTGTCAAAGTTCTTGCTTATTAAGTCATTTCATTAAATATTCCATGATTTTTAAAAAGTATTAAACTGCAGTACAGCTAAAGGCAAATAATTTCAAATTTTTGTCTTAGCTCTAAAAATTTCTCTTTAAATATATTCTAACATTCTTTGAAAACTTCTATTTTCCTACATTTTATTTTTCCTCTAAATAAAATGAATTATGTCACTGGTATAAGATGGTACTAGATTAACATCCTTTAATATACACTCTCACATTATATGAAAAAAAATACTTGCACACCCATGATTGTAACAGTACAATTTGCAATTGCAAAAATATGGAACCAACCCAAATGTCCACCAATCTACAAGTGAATGAAGAAACTGGTATATATATATATCATATACCACATATGGTATGTATTCTATCATACCATATGATATATATGATAAGATACTACTCTACCATAAAAAGGAATGAATTAATGGCATTCACAGTGACCTAGGTGAGATTGGTAACTATTATTCTAAGTTAAGTAACTCAGGAATGGAAAACCAAATATTGTATGTTCTCACTCGTATGTGGGAGCTAAACTATAAGAATGCAAAGGCATAAGAATGACACAATGGACTTTGGGGACTCAGGGGAAATGGTGGGGAAGGGATGAGGGATAAAATACTACAAGTTGCGTGCAGTGTATACTGCTTGCATGACGGGTGCACCAAAATCTCGCAAGTAGACTGAAGCACTTAATTTTGTAACCAAATACCACCTGTTCCCCATTAACCTATGAAAATAATTTAAAAAAAAAACTATCATCAAAGTGAAGATACAACCTATAGAATGGGAGAAATTTTTTTTGCAATCTATCGATCTGACAAAGGTCTAATATTGAGAATCTATAAGGAACTTAAACAAATTTACAAGAAGAAAACAAACAACCCCATTAAAAAGTGGAAAAAAGGACATGAACAGACACTTCTCAACAAAAGACATTCATGTGGCAACAAACATATGAAAAAAAGCTCATAATCACTGACGATTAGAGAAATGCAAATCCAAACTGCAATAAGATACCATCTCATGCAAATCAGAATAGTGATTATTAAAAAGTCAAGAAACAACAGATAATAGCAGGGCTGTGGAACAATAGGAACAGCTTTTACCCTGTTGGTGGACATGTAAATTCGTTCAACCACTGTGGAAGACAGTGTGTCATTTCCATGAAGACCTAGAACCAGAAATGCCATTTGGCCCAGCAATCCCATTATTGGGTATATACCCATAGAAATATAAATCATTCTATTATAAAGACCCATGCACGTGTGGTGTTTATTGCAGCACTAGTCACAATAGCAAAGATATGGAATCAACTCATATGCCCATCAATGATAGACTGGATAAGGAGAATGTGGTACATATAGTACATATACACCATGGAATACTATGCAGCCATAGAAAAGAATGAGACGTGTCCTTTGCAGGACAGTGGATGGAGCTGAAAGCCTTACCCTCAGTAAACTAATGGGAACAATAAACCAAATACCCCATGCCCTCATTTATAAGGTGGAGCTGAACAATGAGAACTCTTGGACACAGGGAGGTGAAAACACACACTGGGGGTTGTCTGTGGAGGGAGCAGGGGAAGGGAGAGCATCAGGATAAATAGCTAATGCATATTGGCCTTAATACCTAGGTGATGGGTTTTGATAGGTACAGCAAACCTGTACATCCTGCACATGTATCCCAGAACTAAAATAAAAATAAAGAAATATATCATACTTTCTTTATCCAATCCATTGTTGATGGGCACCTAGGTTGATTCCATGTGTTTGCTATTGTGAATAGTGCTGCAGTGAACATACAAGAACATATGTCTTTTTGGTAGAACTTTTTTTTCTTTTGAATATATATCCAGTAATGGGATTGCTGGGTCAAATGGTAGTTCTTTAAATTCTTTGAGAAATCTCCACACTGCTTTCCACAGTAGGTGAACTAATTTACATTCCCACCAAGTATAAGCATACACTGTATACATTCCCACTTATATATATATACACAGTATAAGTATCCCATTTACTATGTGTCCTCACCAGCATCTATTGTTTTTGATGTTTAATCATAGCTATTCTGACATGTGAGATGGTAACTCATTGTAGAGTTGCATTTCTACGATGACTAGTGATGTTGAGCATTTTTTCATGTTTGTTGGCCACTTGTATGTCTTCTTTTGAGAAGTGTATGCTCATGTCTTTTCCCATTTTTAATGGAGTTATTTATTTTTTACTTGTTCAATTGTTTACATTCCCTGTAGATTCTGGCTAGTAGACCTCTGTTGGATGCATATGAGAAGACCTCTGAAGTGATGGCTAGAAGAAGGGTAAGAAGATAGGCATATAGCATCAACTGAGAAAATTTCAGAATGGCTGACAGGTAGAATATGGGAATGTAGAGAATAAGCTACACAGAAGACATGAGAGCCAGATTACATAAATCTGTATAAACTCTATTGAGTACTAAATGTATTCTAAGAATAGTTATGACTCTTAAAGGGGAATATAAGCAAAGAAGTCACCTAATCACAAACTATAGCGTGGTTTCTTCTGGATTATTGCTTAATTAAGCAGGCTAAAGGCAGAATTCTACCCTCCTATGCACTCTCACTTCCTCAAAACTATAATCTCTGTCTCACCATGTAGATCTCCTTAACTTCTGGGCCAATCAAAATCATAGCAATTATTTGAGCAATATTTCCTGTTCTCCTCTTCTTATTTTGTGATCCACACAGCCGCAATAGGCCTAGTACACTGCCATAAGCAAAAACCCAAAATTTCTGTTCCTAAATATGTTTACCATATCTAAGAAGCAACGGAATATGTTGCATTATTTTAAAATCATAAATGTTATTCCAAATTTATTTAGCATACAACAGAGTTGGTTTCCATTTAAAAACAAGTCCATTCGATTATAAATATAAATCATTATGTTTTAATGTATTAATATTATTAAACTCCAGCCAGTAATCACTGTTTGAAACTTTAGGAAGTATATGTTAAAAGTCTTATTACCAAAGGGCCTTGGAAAAATAATGACAATTATTTTGGATGTAAGTAACACAGAAAAATGACAATAAATGCTAATAGTAGTATTTTCTGAGTTTTTACATTTTATAGATTGGGCAGACACAATATTCAGTAATGTTTACCAAAGGCTACAGTGAATCTTAACTTTATTTTTATGCCTCCTATATGCAATACTTTTCACAGACAAAAATTCTATTAAAAGCACCATGCTAAATGCAAAAATACAAATGTAATTATGTTAATTTTAGAATGATAAAATATATCTAAAACATTATTCTAACAAAAGTGTTTTGGAAAAATTCATCAATCTGATTGCAATTTTCAGAAGTCTAGAACAAGTAATTAAATGCAACAGGTATTTCATCTTATCTATGCCACTGCAAAAATGTGAAGACTAAATATAAATTTTAAGTGATTGGTTTACATGTTGTTTATAAAATGCTATCTGATTGCCTGACAGATAATTCTGTAATGTGATTTCCAGGTATTGGATCATAGAGAAGGTTCTGGTATTTTCCTCAAAAATCATCACTTTAACTACTACTTTTTGAAATCCCAGGTTGAGGAAAGAGAGGAGATATTGTTTGCAATTGGTACAGCAAGAGGTTGGCACAAAAGGACAATCCATTCCAACCTCTGAACTTTGGAGAGTCTGGGAGTAAAATAATGCTGATACATCTACATGTGAATGCTATAAACAGCAGGTGGGAGTAGGCAAAGGCACAGAGGGTTGAATTCTTTGTCTGAAGTAGAAAGGCTGGGAAAAGCTACTTAGTCTGCAAGTCTGCAAGTAGAATCCCAGATGGCTGGCAGGCTGAAATTATTCCTCTACTACCCACAAGAGCCCAGAATAATTAAAACCAAAGTCAACAACACAAAATTCAAACTGTAAGCAATCCAAAGTACATATAAACAGGAAAAACAAAAAGGACCAGTTGTTCAGACAAAAAAAAATATAGATATGAAAGTACATACAAGTCTAACACTTTTATCTGAAGAACAAAAAAGTCTATTGCTTTATTTTCCTTTTCCTTCAGCCTACTATGTTTCTCTTGTGCTTTCTTCTTCCTTTTCTCCCTAATAAAGACAAAATGGTTAAAACAAGACTGGTTTTACTCCTGGCTTTTGAAGGTAGAATCCTCCTAGCAACATGTTCTTTCTAGCAGCATGTTCTGATAACTTCTTTCTCAAAACATTTTGGACCCCCCACTGAGTTTGTTATGAAATATTTTACCCCTGCCTAAGTTACTACAACCATAAAATAGATTGGATAAGACTGATGCTTAAAACTACCCTCATCTTCTCACTTTTATGATTTCATACAGTAACAAATATAAATATGTAAATACAAAGTGAAGAAATAGAGCAGCAGCTGCCAAAACGTTTTAGATATTTCCTTATGTTCCAGAGTGGAGAATTTAGAAACTGTCTAATTTGACTCTTTCTTCTTACACTAAGGGGAAATGAGAGCGAAGGGAAATGACTTGTTCAAAGTTAACAATCTGGCAAATAGCCCAACCAGGATTCCCAAGTCGGTTTTTCCAATCTATTCTACTGATGACATTATCCACTTAAATTCTTCAAAGAATGAAATAATATTTTCTATTTATCATTTTTTAAACACAGAAGGGTCTTTATTAGCTGAACGTTCATTTTACAATACAGCACAGTCAGTGAGCTGTATAAGGAAGGAAAAGTTGTCATGATGTGAAAACATTCACTAATGAACTAATCACATAAAAAATTAGTACCTAAACACTCCTTGCTTTATAACACAAAGACCCAGCCCCATCTTTTAGACTTGAACCAGTTATCTGATGATGCAATTCAACTGTAGATAGCAAATACTGTTAAAGATGCAGGATTATGCCAACAGTGACAGCAGAACTCTGACTCATAACCAATGGCATTGACGAAT